TTTGTGTAATAATGTGTGTAATAAAGTGTGTATTTGTGTGTTTTTGTGTAGTAAAGGGTTATAATGTGTGTTTTTGTGTAACAATATGAGTAATAATTTGTGTATTTGTGTAATAGTGTGTTTAATAAAGTATGTGTTTGTGTGTATTTGTGCAATAATGCGTAATAATGTGTGTTTTTGTGCAATAATATGTGTAATAATGTGTGTATTTGTGTAATGATGTGTGTAATAATGCGTGTATTTGTGTAATAATGTGTGTTATAATGTGTGTTTTTGTGTAACAACATGAGTAATAATGTGTGTATTTGTGTAATAATGTGTGTATTTGTGTAATAATGTGTGTTATAATGCGTGTTTTTGTGTAACAATATGTGTAATAATGTGTGTATTTGTGTAATAATGTATTAGTGTAATGATGTGTGTAATAATGCGTGTATTTGTGTAATAATGTGTGTTATAATGTGTGTGTTTGTGTAACAACATGAGTAATAATGTGTGTATTTGTGTGTTTCAGGGTAACTCTGGTCTGGGCTTCAGCATCGCAGGAGGAACAGATAATCCTCACATCGGAGACGACCCGTCCATCTTCATCACTAAGATCATCCCAGGAGGAGCCGCGGCTCAGGACGGACGTCTCCGGTAAGAACCCGGTTCTGAACGTCCTGGTTTGGGTTCTAGGACTGGATGTGATCCTCAGAACTGTTTGTTCTTCAGGGTCAACGACAGCATCGTGTTCGTTAACGATGTGGACGTCAGGGAGGTCACGCACTCCTTCGCTGTGGAGGCCCTGAAGGAGGCGGGGCCTGTGGTCCGGCTGTACGTCCTGAGGAGACGCCCCCCCACTGAACGCATGACCCAGATCAAACTGCTGAAAGGACCCAAAGGTACGGCTGGAGGTTCAGGTGTTTTCAGAGAATGATCTTGATAAGTATGAAGAAAAGGAGCTCAGAAACGTGAGCTCACATTTGATAAATCAGAATATTGTATTTATATTTACTTAAATTTAATTTAAATGTGTGTTTTTCTCGGGACACTTTTCACATTTTGTCCTACACCAGTCTGAGACCAGAACAGTTTTTTTAGGTCCTGAAAGTAAAACCCAAGAGTTGTTGTCCAGGACTGTAGCTCCAGAAGTTCTGCTTCACACAGACTTCTTCTGGTCTCAGAACCAGCTCATACCAGTCTACACAAACCCACCCTGTCCTCCTTCTGGTCCAGGTCTGGGCTTCAGTATAGCTGGTGGTGTGGGGAACCAACACGTTCCAGGAG